GCTGTTCTTCTTCCTCCTGCTGCTGTCCTGCCTGCTGCCCTGACCTAGGGACCAGCTCTTGACTTTGGTGCCGAGTGCCTCATAGTGCTGGAATTTACTGTCAGAAAGGAAACACTCTGAGTGCTACAGGACACCACGGGGCATGTGTTGCTTACACAGTAATGTCACCCTCTGGGTCATTGCAAGGCAGAAGGTAAAGCTGACAAGTGGTGTTTATCTGTCAACGACATCTTGTACATGCCTTGAAGTGTCTCCAAGCCGACTGCCTTGGAAAAAAAATCCAGTGTAGGCTTTAGACTTTAATCTTCCCTCGTCTTGCTAGATAGAGTAAGGCCCCATTTGTGGATGCTACATCAATATAGAAAGTATTTCTTAACAAAGGTCATGTCTCATTTACATGGAAGAAAAGTAGAGTGCATGACATGGTAGGAGAGGTTTTTTCCTGGCAAGTCTACAGTGCAAGGCTGTGATTAAATTGAGCTGGCCAGGTAAATCCAGGTGTCTCTCTTCAGCACTAGAAAGTTCAGCTAAGATACCTGACAGAAAGGAACGCCTTCACAAATTAAATGGGGACTGAAAAGGTAACAGATGCTCTAAGACAACATTCTTCCCTTGCAAAAATAGAAGATTTGCATTTTTTGATTGCACATTTTTTGGTTGCACATTTTTTTGTTGACACTTTCAGCTTTCCACTTGAGAGCATGGTACAAATTAAAATAATGGATTTGTTTTTATTGGTAGAAAAGAAAAGCAATTATCAGCAGATATCAAATATCACTCACAGCAATAAATAAATTCACCGAAATCCATAATGTCCTACCAGTGATTTTAAAGATCCTATGTGGCAAAGGCAGAATTGGATTCTGCCACTGGATTGAATCATTATGGATTCAGTTGATTTGAATTCATAGTGATTGGATTGAATCACTATGATGCAATTCTGCTCTAGACATGGAGAGCTAAGGAAACTTTCCATTCTGACCATCCTTCTGCCTTGTGGGAGGGGATTTGGGACTGGGATGGGGCTTGGACACTGTCAAATGTCATTCCAGTGTCCCCTGGATAAATGTCTTTATGTGTTCCTCCTGATGGGAGGGGAAACTCATCTACTACTGGTTTTCATCCTTCATCCCTCATTGTTGGGCTCTGTAAATAACTGTCCCCCAAAGGATCCAAGGCTCCAGATATTAAGGCTGATGAAGAATTGTTTTTATATGAGACTTCAAAATTCTGGATCCTCTATTAAGAATAAACCCAAGATGCTGTTTATTTTTTAATATAAATGCATATTAGTGGACTGGGAATCCTTTCCTGTTCTCATCTACACTGATTTTTTTTGCCTGGCATTCTTATTTCAATTGATCAGATTTCTCAATATCAATAAAAGTTTAAAGTGGGAAAATTTTAAATAGAGAATTTCAAGCTGGAAGGGATCCATAAGGATCTCAAGGTCCAACTCCCTCTTCCTCACAGAACTACCTAAAACTAAATCATATGACTACCATTTAGTTAAATACTTTGGTCAAAGAGTTGTCTCTGAGGTCTTCTGGCAGTGTTCTGATCCTTTGGCTCTGTGACAGGATGAAAATTTTTCTCTGGCAACAAGCAAACAGGCACCTAATAAAATAGGGACTGAAGTAAGTGAGAGAGTTCAGTCCTTGAAATAGCAACAAATATGAAGTTATTGATGCAGATCTAGCAGCTGCAACTGCAAATACAGCTCTGGATGTTTGACCAAGGGAATTTATTAAAAACAGACAGGAGAGAATGATTTAATTATCTAACACCCTGATTAGCAGCCGTTTGGAAAGTGCTCAAGGAGCTGAAGAGAGTTAAAATAGGATAGTCATGCTTTGGAAAGAGACCATGGAAGATTAATTGAGGCAGGCATGGAAGGGAAAGGCTTGGAGAGTTTCACATGTTTGGGGCTCTGAGGTAGTGGAGGAAGAAGGCTTATGGTGGTGCACAAAAGCCACACTGTACTGAGGATAAATTTTCTTCAGGAGATATTCACCTTATGGGACAGGTAAAACACAAGGGCACAAGGCAATGTTGGAGGGAGAAGAGCAAGTTATGAGAAGGGACATTTCCATGCAGAGACAAGAGGCAGCCTGTGCAAACAGGGGTGCTTTAGCAGTAGTGTGAGTTAATGAAAGGATGGCTGAGGATGCCAGAGCCTTTAGTTCTATCTGCTGAGGTACAGAAACAAGAGGTGATGGGCTAGAAACAAGGTGGAGCTGGGCTCTTTCCACCTCACAATTTCTGTGAAGGCTTGGCTCTGTCATTGGGTAAATACAATTGTAGCTGAGTCCAGAGGTGGTTCATGGCCCTTTATTTGCACATGGTTATGTGTTCAGCACAGAGGAGTTAACTGGTTCAGGTCCTCCACAAGGTGAGTTGTGATCAAGTCAGGTGAATGGTTGCTATACACAGGGAAGGAGAGCATGATGGCAAGAAAAAAATGGTAAAAATTTAAACTTCATAAAATGAATAGAGAAATTCTTTTAGTAACAGAGAATGTACAGGTTCTGTGGATGGATAATTGTAAGCATATTTAGACATCTCTGTGATCAAAGAAGCATAAGCTCAGGAATGACCACCAGGCATTTCTTTCTGTTCAGTATTTTCCTTTCTCTTTTTTTGGGCAGTCTTTCCATTGATTACAAAGGCAAATACAGTACTTCGCTATTTTTTTTACTCATAGCCAATCTTCCTCTCTTCCTGACTACCAGAGGTTATAAAGCAAATTTAATTTTTCTGTCTATGTCTATACCTGTAAATACAGCAAGGCTAGGGCATGATTTCAAGTGTTGTCCTATGATTATAACCCTGGGGGATGGTTAGATGCTCCCTGGTTCCATTTTGGACCTGCCAGAATTCTCCCACCTACACCTAACCACAACACAGGCACACCCAACAACCATTCCCTGTATAGATTTGAACTGCAGTCTCACAATTTAAGGATGGAGAGGAAGTTTTGCTGTGCAGATGAGAACAACACACTATCACTTGGTCCAGCATATATGGTCTCAGTACCGATTTATTTAGTAGCATAAAAGTAGACTATGAATAAGATTCTGTCTTCCTGAATATCCTTCTTCCTCTTGCTGTAAAGGAAGCCCTTTAAGGCTGTAAGGATAAGCACCTGCCACCAAGCCTTTCTCACTGTGAGACTGCGGTGGAGGTCCTCTCTAACCCATCAGTACTAGAGTGTGACCATAGTTTAATCCTGTTTGTATTAACAGGAATCTCCAGAGGCATAGTTCTCAGCACCTCCTGGCACATGATGGGTGGAATGCAAAGCAAAATATCTTTGCATCTTACAAAGGGCTATTGAGAAAACACGAGGCTGGAGAGCATCAGCAGCTGCTCCTCATCCCCCTCTGGTTCCAGCCATCACAGAGTTCAGTGCCTGGATGAGGGCAGAAGAAAGGGGAACAATAAAAAGTGATCTCTGCCAGGTTATTAGGTCTGTTCATACACTGCTTCCCTACTGCCACCCCACTCACACAGAGGGACAAAACCCTCAGCTACCTTTCCAGGGAAGCACTCTTTCCTTTCCAAGGACAGGAATCATTTCATTGATATGAGCAGCTTTACCTTGATAGTGATGTGAAACAAAGGAGGAAGATAGCTTCAATACTCGTTGTTTAAGTTCTTGTAAGCAGAAGTCTTGCCTATCTCTGTATTTTACAGGCACGTGAATCGGTCAAATGATAAACACCACAATGAATAGAGCAGAAAAAATCAGATTATAGTCTTTAAAAAAAGCAGCAAAATGCCCATCCTTTATAAGATGTCCATAAAGAGGCTAAACAGCCTGGAAAAAAACAGATTGCAGAAGAAACCCTCATGCACTGGCTATAGAATAACCAGACACACGACTGCTATTGCGTCTCCAAATCCTATTCAAAGATGTAAGATAGGTTTTCCATAACGTTAGGGTGCATTTATACACTGAGAAGCCTTTCTAGTAGCCTGGTTCTTATTGATACCTGATTAATGGTATGAACACGTGCTTCAGAAGCATGAAACCTTTGGGGACCGTTTCATCTATTGTGCTAATTACTGTGCTTTTGTCTCAAAATCCTAAAACAGCCTAAGAAAGTAAATCCTAGTACCCTCTGATTCACTCAACCTGCCTTCCTCTTGCCTATACACGTTTGTAGTTTGAGTGGGAGTCTAAGAGGAGGGCAACCCAGTGGCTTAGTTTAGTGGTTCTGTGCGTGTGCTACAGATAGGATTTCCATTCCTTCTGTCTGGTTTCCTGGCTTGGCAAAGGCAAGCAGTGTTGGATCTCCTGGATGAGTGGAGAAGAGAATATCTCAACTCTCAGCAGCAATCTCTCCAGTTAATGGATTACTCATGCTGAAAGGAACATTATAGTCTCTACCAATGCCAAAATGAGAGTGGCCACAGGGAAAGGACCCAAGAAAACATACCATATGTAAACAGAAGGGAAATTAAGAGTATCTTCACTGCTGAAAACAGCAGCACAATAATACTCAACATTAATACTGAGGAACACTCTACTTTTCTCTCTGTCTTTCCACACCATGTTCTCTTAAAGGAAAAAATGAGGTTACACTGCAGGCATGCTGCCTGTGCCTACTTGTCACTTTTATGTTGTGGGAAGAATATGTATAAATGTATAAATGTATAAATGTATACAGGCATTTCCTACAAGTTTTGCAGGCAGGAGGGGCTCTTTAATAGCATGACAGTCACTTTTTCAGCCTCTGTCTGCGTGTGCATACGTGTCTGCATGTTACAGAGAGGGACGCAGAGAGCAAGCTGTGCGGCTGAATTTAGAAAGTTATAGATGTTCTCATCAGCCCCATGCAATGCAGCAGAGATTCCTTCCAAAAGCCAAGGGAGCAGAGGCTGCAGACAACAGATGTGAAGGGTTTCCCATAACTGTCAATTTTCAAAGTGTTTGCATTGAAAAGAGAGGAGGTGCTATTTTGATTGATATTTCAGCCGCAGTATATAAAGCAGACGAATTCTTCTTACCCTCTGCTTGTCACACTGATCTCACACACCCTCCGCCGGACTTGGGGCTACTACTTGCTGCATCTGAAAGGCTGAAACTCTGGGAATAAAGAATCCCTGTAACAATGCCGGAACCCACCAAGAAAGATGGTAAGCATGACAGAACATTACCTGAGCGTTTCTTAATTACAGGAATTACGAGTATGCACACACACCAAACGCCTTTTAGACCACCCTGCAGATATCAGCCACAAATGATATTAACAATAGCCATGTAACATCACTAAGTTATTAGAGATCACAGATCTTTTTAGACTAAGAAATTACTTTCAGGCAGGGCTATAACACAAACTGTTTTAGATAATAAACTATGGATGGCTACTAGATTGGGCAAGTGCTGTATTCATTTTTTTAAGGCTACAGGATTTCTGTAGTGCAATTTGTGGTTTTTCTCTTCTAAGCTATCTAAATTCTGGAAAATAGGGGAAAAGCATTTCTTATGATTTAAAGAGTCAGGACTCTCTGAACTGATATGTTTTTCATGCAGTTTTCTAATAGTTATTGAATGGGAAGGATGTGCTTTATGAAACAGTTTTCTGGTGAAAATACATTCTATATATCTAAATGAATAGGTGAAGAATGTAGTAAGTTACTCTGTACAGCTTGAACTGGAATAATTACTTTTGCTACATTACAGAATTTATTATTTTATGTTTCAGAAGGATAGTTACACTCAGTAATATTGGCCCCTTCTGTGGTCCTGTTAAGTTCATAGCAAAGGAGCTGAGTGTGTAGTCTGCTACTGAGAAACAGAATTGTCCATTGGATGCTTAGGAAAAAGGTGAAAAAAATTCAGGGTCTATTATTTAATAATTATTTAAAAGCTTATATTTATTTTTCTACCATTTTTGAAAATTTAAGGCAAATAGGCTTCTTCTATTTACATTATTTCTGCAGCTCTTCTTGTGTTTTTCTTTCAAATCTATATGTTTTGGTAAGAATTTTTGGTGATAATTTTTTGACATTGACTATATAAAGAGCTTTTGCAAAGCCATAATATGCAGACTGTATGTGCTTTTCAAATATTGGTGAATGAAAGCTATACACACAGCTTCCCTAATGCATTCCCAAGTGCAAAACTGAATTGAATCTTTAAGGTAATCTTCAGAGTATGGGCAGTATTGGAGTCATTAATTAGCACTGATTTCCCATCAGTCTTGGAAGATCTAGGCTGATGTACGTAGCTTGAATAGCTACATTTGATTTAACACTGGCTTATTGGTAGCTTTGGCTTTTGACAAGTGTACAAACATTTTACAAGGTTTTTTTGAAATACTTTCTGGTTTTGGGGAAAGCAAGAGCAGAGCAATGTCAGTAACATCACTCATATTCAGCACCTTCTTCGGCTGGGGACACATGAAAACCAAACTTTTTGCACGACTGAGTCTTAAGCAAGCAGTGTTGACAGAGCAGTGTGATCACTTTACTGACTGGCCCTCCTCAGTGCTCGAGGACAATGATAGATGAAGTATCCTTCTGAAAATAGCTGCACCAAGTGCACGTATTAATACAAGAGCCTAATCCTCCATATCAAACCTAGAGCCAAGCCCCTTCTAGAGTGTCTTTTTTGTAATTCAAATTATTTACACATGTATTAAGTGTCCTTTTTATTTGATCTGTTATTTAACTGGGTATTATACACTTTAATCAGAATGCATTCTGTGGCTGTCAAATCAAAAAAAACCCAACCCTAAAATATTTATGCACTTGCAAAAGATATGTGCTTTGAAGAAAATTAGTTTGGAGGCTCGTGTTTCTTATTCTGTTTAAAATTAGATTGTTTCAAAGATGTTCTTACAATGCAGTGATTACCAATGCAGCTCCATGTTTGTGTTACAAAATAAGTTTAGCGGCTCTGAACATTATATTGACAGTGGAACAAATGTGATTTTTGATGATCCAATATTCAGGACCTAAAAATCATTGAAGCATTCTGCCTTAATAGAATTCACAAGGAGTAGTGAGCTCTGGAGAGGTGGTACAACTGGGTTGCACACCGGTTCCTCCTTATTGCACCCAGTTTGTTTGCAGCCAGGAGGTAAGGGGAGTAACAGGTTTATATTATCGTACTTCAGGGATTAGCTGCTTCCTAAAGATTTTTTTGTTGGTCAAGAACTCCCCTGAGCTGTTAGCAATACTTGTGTGTACCTACTGTATTAGTGGCAGGAGAATTAGGTACCAATAATAGTACAGTACTGCTACTTGTACAAGCTCTACTTGTACCAGCTCAACCAGTAAGAATTCAGAACCTCACGTGATCATCAAGTGCCTGTCTCATGGTAATTTCCAAGGCATCAAGGGTTGAAGAAAATTAATCAATGAAAGAGAACCTTGGACTGACTAATTCTGGAAATTAACACTGGAAAGACTGATAAACCTTTGGTAAACTTGTTGAAGGACTACAGTAGAAAACAGAGGGGAAAAGAAAGAGGCTTAAGGTTTCTGCATCACATGAGCACCTAAGCACGATTCTTTCGACATTTCCAACAGAAGCAACCTACCTGAATTATCCCACACTCCTCATTTGCATGGGTCCTGCAAATTAAAACAGCACACACAAAAATCAGAAACTGGTTAACACTTGAATGCTTAGAAAATCCCAGATGTGTGGTTTTTTTATGACTTCAGTCCCTGAAGTACATAGTTTAATTTTTCAGAGGCAGTGCTGTAACAAGCTCCCAGGCTTTTTTTTTTATGCCAAGTGCTCTTTGAGCTATTTTAAGATTATTAGATTAACAAAGTGAGAAAATTCCTGACTTGGTGACAGTGTAGCCTCACAAAGCGCTCTTAACAAATAGGATCACCAAATTAAACACACCACTCAGCTTAGAGAAGGTTGCTGCAGAGCTTCAGCCTGATGGAATTTGTCACTGCAGAAACAGGCTTCCATGACTAATTATTTAAGGCCTTTATGGTACTCCTAAAAAGTTGAGTCCTGTATATAAGATCAGCTGCACCTTCTTTGTAGTAGATGGTCATGGTGTTATAGGACAGTTTTGTCTTATCTGGCTCAAAATAAAAGTGCAAGGTGAATTTTACATCAATGGGTTAACTGATCCCAGTGGGTGACTGAGTTGCCAGAGACCTTAACCAGTGCATTTAAACTTGACAGCCTTTAGCTTTCCTGGTGACTAATAAAATAACCCTCCCTCATATAATTACTTCCTGCAATTTATTGCAATCACTCAGTCAATCTTTCCTCTCCCCCCTTTCCTTTAACCAATGCTCATAATAAGAGCTGCTCATTAATTAGGTGCCCTCTTAAGCTGTCACAGGCCATGGCATTTGGACACGCTTTTGTAAAAGTGCCAAGTCTCTCAAGAGCAACCTTTTCAAACTATTTGTGGGCATCATCCCACAGGGACAGGTGCAAGTCTGTCCCCAGTAGGCAGCTCTGTAAATTTGCCTTATTTATTCTCCCCAATCTAGGAAATAGCGCATGGAGTTAAGCGACCATTCCAAATTTTGAGCCAAAGCATTTATCAACTGTCTGCCAACTTCATTTTCTAAGTGTTTGCAAGCTCTGCTTGAATGATGCTGCCTGGAGCATCCACATTTTGGCAAGGAATCAACATCAAAATTAGTGTGTCTACTTTAGACAGAGTTTCAGTAAAATTTTATTCAATCTACGAATAGCATAAATGTAAAAGTTGTGAAGAAAACTACTTGCATATACTTTCAGTTAGAAGAACAATCTGGAAAGCATGAGGCAATTTGTGGAAGGAAGCAAACAAACATAAATACCAGTGCAGACAGCTTTGGAGATTTGGTAACACTGCTCTCCATGAGAACAGCAGTGGAAACAGCCTTTAGTTCTATTTGCTTTTAAACATAATTAGTTTTGTTTCACTGTGAGGTTTTTTTTTCCTATCATTATATTTGCATTATATTTACAACATTCTAAATAATATGGCTATCTGGTGTATCAAGATAACAGTCACTGTCAAACAAGTCACCGAGTCATATAAATCATATGAGTAGACAAGTAGAATAGCATTCCAGTGGGAAAATAATCTGAGCACAAAGGTTGGTTAAGAGGTAATTAAAGTCAGATTTCTTTTAACATCATATTTTCAAGTTCTGACAATTTTTCATAAGTGAAAAAGAAGCTGAATGGGAATTCTGCTTCACTGTACAAATTTGGCTTGTATCAAAATTAAAGCTGATGATGGAAAGTTTTCCTGAAAATTCAAGATCCCAGCATGTGAACATTTTTCAACACTGTTTGGTGCTTTCCATGCAGAGGAGCAGACCTGTATAACCATTTTATACGGCACCACACTGGGTAGTGCAGCTTCTCTCTCCTTGTTACATAGTGACTCAAAAGAAAAGCATACAGACATCCATCTTCTGCCATTATCATTGCCCTTCTGCAGCACTGACTGCAGAATGCATTCCCATTATTTTTAACTTCATTCTCAGTCTCAGAGCCAAACCACTCTCAAAGTCAGGCCCATACGTATCATTTGCCAAGCTCCCTATTCAAATCCCAGGTAAATGAGTTTTGGTGGATGACGAAAGAGTGAAACCCTAACCCCTTATCTTATTTTCCCTCTCAATTCTTTAGAAAGTTTCTCTTCATCACCTCTAGCTAATAAATTTTAAGCCCTCCACAAATGGAAAGCAAACTTACGCCTCACTGCTGTAATCAGATCTGTGAGGGTGGGCTGCGCGCTCGTCCTGCGCCCCACGGAGCAGCTCCTCCTGCACAGATTGTGCTGTAGGCTGGGAACTGACTTGTTCTTAGATTGCCTTTGCCCTCCCATTGCTAACTTCCAAGTGTAGCTCCCACACTTCCTTCTGAGATACCAGAGCATCTCAGATTTATTTGTTGACCTTCCGCCTCCATAGTTGCTAAGTTTCTGGCAACTTTTTCAATCGAATTAATTTGACTGAAAATTCTCCCTGATTTATCTTTGTGTTATTATGTTTTGGTTTATTTAGGTATAAACTGAAGTCACTACACTAACTTTTTTTCTTATACAATGCACTGAATTTCTTTTAATACTGCTGAAGGAGGATAATGCAAGATTGATCTGTTTTACTTGTTGTTCTTACTTGAGTTGAAGAGCATGTCCACCCTGTGTGAA